ACCTCCCTTTATATTAATAGAACAATAATGTTGTTAGCTAATGAATGTTTCCATGCTGAACAACGGCAACATGACAACGTTTTCATTGGTCCCTCTTCTTTAGAGAAGACCAGGAAATGATGGATACACGGATCGTGTTCAAATCAATAGGCACGCAATGACTCTAAATAATAATGATCACGCCACCAAACACACATTCAAACTAAAGGAACCAGCCTGTTTGGAAAATGTGAGAAGTAGAAAGTACAGGTATTTGGGTTCAAACATGTAAGAAGTAGAAAGTACAGGTATTTGGGTTCAACATGTAAGAAGTAGAAAGTACAGGTATTTGGTTGGGTTCAAAATGTAAGAAGTAGAAAGTACAGGTTATTGTGTTCAACATGTAAGAAGTAGAAAGTACAGGTATTTGGGTTCAACATGTAAGAAGTAGAAAGTACAGGTATTTGGGTTCAACATGTAAGAAGTAGAAAGTACAGGTATTTGTGTTCAACATGTAAGAGTAGAAAGTACAGGTATGTGGGGTTCAACATGTAAGAAGTAGAAAGTACAGGTATTTGGGTTCAAAATGTAAGAAGTAGAAAGTACAGGTATTTGTGTTCAACATGTAAGAAGTAGAAAGTACAGGTATTTGTGTTCAACATGTAAGAAGTAGAAAGTACAGGTATTTGAGTTCAACATGTAAGAAGTAGAAAGTACAGGTATTTGGGTTCAACATGTAAGAAGTAGAAAGTACAGGTATTTGGGTTCAACATGTAAGAAGTAGAAAGTACAGGTATTTGTGTTCAACATGTAAGAAGTAGAAAGTACAGGTATTTGGGTTCAAAATGTAAGAAGTCAAAGTAAAAAGTGGTCAGAAAAATAAGTAGTGAAGTAAAGTACTGATACCAGAAACATGTACTTAAGTACAGTAACGAAGTATTTGTACTCCACTAGTACTTAGTATTTATCCTTGCATTATGTTTAGGGTAATGCCCTGTATAGATTGTATATCGCCATGCAGCTCTACCTGCCTCTACACGTCTAAAAACTTCTCCATTTACCTCTAATATTTCTTTATTGTCTTCTTTGTGTGTATTTAACAACACATCTATGAGGGTAAATGTACTGTGTCTCTGTTTGCTCATATCATCCTTCACTTGGGTGTGGACAGAGTGAAGTGAGGCTGGATTATATCTCCGAACAATAAATCTAAAGAGGCTACAACAATGAGAGGTCGCCCGCTCTGATTGGACAATACCTGAGGAGGAATTTCAGCCTTAACAAAAGGAGGATAATAAAGAAACTGGATATAGAGATCACCTGCAGCACCATCTTTTAATAATCTGACCCTAACCCTAACGTCACTTTTCCCTCCTTTGCCTAAAATGCCCTTAAACTGCATTCACTTCTCATTTGGACTTAAATCGTAGCGTTAAAGCTTATTTTACGTCTATTTTCAGCTTCTTTATGTTCTTCGCCAAAGAGTTGCTCTCGCTGTACGTCCATTCCTCTTACTCGCCGCCTCCATTGACCCAAATGTCAGTGTTTCCCTGCTCGATTTCTCCCTCTCTTGCCCTCCTTCTGTCATTGTGATTACACAAGTCGAGGAGATCAGAGGGAGGAGAGCTGACCTTTCACCTCCTTCTCCTCCTTTCTCCCTCTCTCTTTCTCTCTGGGCTTTTGACTTTGTGCCAAGCCTCGCTTTCTCCCCTGTCTTTATGTTTCATGCTGTAGAAGTACTAGAAGTCAGGGTTCTTACGGTCATTAAAAACCTGGAAAAGTCATGGAAATTCAAAATGCTAATTCCAGGCCCTGGAAAAGTTATGGAAAACAATATTTTTCCCAAAAGTCATGGAAATTTAACTAAAGTTGCATCAAATATAATTTATATTTTATCTAATCGCCGAAATAGTAATTACTGTATTGTATAGTAATGAAACATAAAATGGCATTTAACTGACGAGGTATTTTTCTGGTGAGAGATTTTAGTTGCGTTAGCGTGTAGAAGCTAGTAAGCCTATTTGATTTGTTTTAGATAGGCACGACATGTTTCATATGCAGACCTTATTTTCCTGTTCCATGTGGTACCGCTGAGAAAGAGTAATTTTTTTGGTCATGGAAAATTAGGTAAAGGTCATGGAGAAGTCATGGAAAAGTCATTGAAAATAATTCGTGAAAAAGTGTATGAACCCTGAGAAGTCTTAAGTGTTTTATATTATTAGGGTTAGGGTTAGGGTTAGGGGTCATACTTTTACTGCTACAGATGTGTATCCTTCCTATCCCACCTGTATGTACCATCATATTCTATAAGATCATCCCTTTATCAAGTATTTTTGAATTGTTTTTGGACATTGTTCACATGTTCCGTAGGAGATCTTTACACGTACTTATCCTTCATTTTTCACATATTTTCCTCACTATTTTTCAGACGTTTTACATGCATTTTCCACCTATTTTCAGAAGTGTTTTTACACAATTTCTTCAATTTAGTTTCATTTTTTTCAGGTCGTTTTCAGACCTGATTCACACATTTGTATTATATTTTTCACAACTCTTATTTCTTACAGTTGTACAGTATGTTGGTTCAATCTACAAAAATGCATCATATTCTATAAGATCATAATTTTCATAATATCTTTTACACATTTAACCACATTCTTTTCAACCTTATTCATATATCTTTTGAATATATTTCACATATTTCTTAGCATTCACCTTAAATTCACGAAACATAACAATTAAAAAACACTTAATATGACAGCATAACTCAACACTCCCCATCTTATTAACCCTCTTAAAGTGGATATTTCTCCGCCTCTTCACCCCGGTGGTTCCCAGGCTCTCATTATATCGCCTGATTCCCAGACTAGACCATCTGATGACTGCTTATGGGGGTCCTGAGGGTCTCTGACCTCCTTTATTATGAATACGAACACTCACAGACTGTGGTCATATGAACTAATGCACCCCTGAGCCTCCATCACTCCCCCGTCCACACCCTTTTTCTCCCCCGTCGCCTGTCCCCTCTCTCCACAGCCTTTCATCACTAATCACATCAAAATGCCAGCCGTGACCTCTGAGTTTGACCCCAAATAGACCCCTGAACTATGCACTCATAAGTGACATTTGGTGATTTTTAGCATGTTACCTTCTCCTATATATACATGTATCCATCATAGAACAGGTGAATTTGAGATTAAAAACAGTATTATCATGTTTAAATACACACATACATCTACATCTCCTCTCAGCAGGTGGTCCATAAAGTGAAAAGAAGCTGTTTTGAAGTCATAAGAGGCTCAAGGTATATGAGCTTATGCCATGTCATACGTCAGCTTATGAAAGCTCTGTTATAAACTCAGAAAGCGCGGCGTGATGTTTGCTAGATATCTCAGGAATGCCACCCTGAACACAGCAGGGTTAATCTGAGGTTCATATGGAGTTTATGAGCTGCAGATGGCGCGTGGGGATGCTCAGATTGTTTACTGTGTGTAAGATGGGGTGTGTGAGGGTGTGACACTGGCAAAAATGCAAGAAAATAAGGTAAAAGTAGACATATTACTTAGTACTTTGCCGTACTTAGTTCCCAGCACTGAGTTCCCAGCACTTAGTTCCCCCATGGAACTAAAGAGTAGATTGCGTTCACACCGGAATAAGTCCCTGAGGGAAGATTACGCAAATGAAGCCGCTGACGTCACTTCTTCTTCTTCTGCTTTGGGTTTACTGGCAGGCCGCAAACAACTTCACGGCGTATACTGCCACCCGAAGTCCCCGGCCGGAAGTCCCCGGAGTTGGGGACTGGCTTCAGTAGAAGCTGCTGGGACTCCCAGCAGCTTCTACTGAAGCCTTCCGAGTAAATCGCCAGAACGCCGACACCTCCTGATCACTCCACCGCTCCCATGTTTTCTTTTGTGTTGCCATAAGTTAGTCTCTCTCCGTTGGTGCGCTGGGCGAATGCGAATGCTAATAATGCTAATGCCAGCAAATACAATGGCGGCTTCACAAAAATGTTCCGAGTTTTACGGGCCGTGGTTTGCAATTCGCCCAACCAATCAGAAATTGGAACTTTTTTCTCCCCAGGAAAGTACCTGCTCTCTAGCAGGGACTGAAAAGGGGGGGAAAGTTCTCATGAACTAAGTTCTCTTTTTGGTGTGAACGCAAAATCCCATAGTATCATTGATCTACGTCAGCTAAGTTGCCATTTAAGTGGAGGTTGTTGTTGAAAAATCTGATTGCAAATGTAAGAAAAAGGAAGCTTGATTTGATAGGACAAGTGAAAAATGGTATTGGTTTAATCCATAGTTATACCATGCATGATGTCACCACTGAAGTGCCTATTTATCCTCTTCAAAAGCTGCTTATTATATGCATACAGATACAAACACAATATAGGGATATATGTTTGATCATGAGTCAATTCTCTAATGATTTAAAAGGCTATATCTGTCTTTTTTAAACCTCTATCCTCCCACAGCATGGTGCCAATCGCAACCAGTAAAGAGTATCATAAAAATGTAGTTTCTCCACTTAATAAACCCTCATGTATCGCTCATTTCTGATAATTGTAGAGTCCTAAAAGGCTCTTTTCTCTGCTTGTAGGCAAGGCTTTTGTGTGTCTCTGTTAGTCATCATAGAAAAGCGCTGCAGGAGACAGACAGCGGTGACATATCGGGTTAGAAAACCAGAAAACTTAAGCATAAAGAGAGACAAATAAAAGCTGAACACACACAGAGAACCTGATAGTACATGTTCTGTACTTCAATTAGATCTGCCCTTTAAATAATTACGCACTTTTTATCCACTCACTGCATCTTGATCCTTTTCCTAAATCCCAGCAAACGTCTCACTGATTCAACGCCACATGACTCATGGAGATTTGACATGCTTCTGCCTCTTTAAGCAAAGACTTCAGGGTTCATTGGAGGAACATGTCCGGTGTTGAACAAGGGATATTTGTCATTATATTCGTCATATATTCCCAAAGCATTGTTATTAATCTGTGTCTGTTTTTGTTTCTGCAGGGCAACGAGTTTGACGAGCCGTGTGCCGGACGCAACTGTGGAGAAGGATGCAGATGTAATCCGGAGAAAGGCAGCAGGGTGAGTCTTTAAAAATCACGTTAAATCCTCTTCCAACAACACACGGCACATCCATCACAGTTGCATTTCCATCATAAGAGTTCAAAAAAATCAAAATACCTACAAAATACATTAGTTTTGTGTTTTTTTATGACCATTTTGACCTTTTTTAATCACAAAAACATGATTTTTCTGGGATATGTTACGTTTTCTCTCGGGAATAAGTACACTTGTTATATTTCATTGTAAAAATGTGGCTATTGTACTTCCGCTAATGACTTATCCTCAGTATGCATTGGTCATAAAAAACATACATTCGTTGTTTAATACACATTTAAACACATCTCCATGCAAAGTAATTAGATACAGACAAATAAATATTCCACCATGATGTTGTTCATCTTCATATTTCATTTATGAACCATAACAGGTCGTCTATTTTTCCGGTACATGAGTTTTTAGTTCTTATTCATTGCATAATATTTACTGTGGTGTGTTATTGTGCAACTACAAGCCACAGAGCAGTGGTGAGTGTGAGTGATTAGATGTTAATCAACAGAAACATTCTCTTCACGTCGTTTAGAAACAATAACCTCGGGGCTCCATTTATTTATCTATATATCTTTCCATCATACAGCCGCAGACATTACCTTCTGTCAGTTTGTGTTACACATGTTTCCAGAGTCCTTATCTTTATCTACTGATGTTTTACTGATATAGACGAAAACAAAACACTGTCTTTAGGCGAGGAACTCATTTTCCTTTCATTGCTATCATGATATTAACCCTCCCAGGTGTAATAGTGTGTAAAAAGGGTGTAATAACAATTTAATAACATAATAATATAAGTGTAATTATTGGTGTGACATGGGTATAATATATATATTTTAATAACAGTGTAATATGGGTCTGATAAGGGTCTGATATGGTTGTTTTTACATGTAATATGGGTGTTATAGTGTGGAAATAGGGCGTAATAACTGTGTAATAACGTAGTAATATGTGTAATTATTGGTGTAACATGGGTATAATATACATTTTTAATAACAGTGTAATATGGGTCTGATATGGGTGTTTTTACATGTAATATGGGTGTAACATTGTGTAAAGAGGGTGTAATAGTGTAATAACATAGTAATATGTGTAATTATTGGTGTTACAATATGGGATTAATAACAGTAGAATATGGGTGTAATAACAGTGTAATATGGGTGTTTTAATGTGACCTTAACTATGTGTTATAGTGTTATAACAGTTTAATAACATAGTAATACAAGTGTAAGTATTGGTGTTACATAGGTATAATATGGGATTAATAACAGTATGATATGGGTGGAACATGGGTGTAATAACAGAGTAATGCAGGTGTAATATGGGGGATTTCATGTGTAATAAGGGTGTTATAACAGTGTAATAACGTAGTAATATAAGTTTAAGTATTGGTGTAACATGGGTTTAATATATTTATTTAATAAAAGTATGATATGGGTGGAACATGGGTGTAATAAGAGTGTAATAAGGAATCAAGCAATCAAATAATTATCCTAAGTATTTATATATGCTTGCCAATTTAAGGGTTAACATTTAATGTCGTATGTTACCCAATAGCCTCTAAACTAGTGTTGACAGGGTGTGAAATAGATGCACGTCTGCACATTTTATTTCACTACCTTCACCTGTCAGCTGTGAACAAACAGAGCAGCTCCACTTCCTGATTTACGACCCCGAGAGACAGTTAGGGGGAAAGTTTTGTGTTTTTTTTTTTTACACAGTAATATACGTCCGGAGGCTTTATATAAATACCTCTACATATTAACAAGCTTCTTAAAAAACATCCAAACAATATATAGATAAATGCAGGTGGAAGGTTTAAACATCACACTGGTTTCATTGTAAACAAATCTTATCTTTGATTGGAGCTCCTTTGAATTAGAATTCCAACAGCAATCAACCAATCAGAAGGCTCGTTCAACTTCCATGTGTTTCTATTACTGATAAAATGACAAAAAAGGTGTGTATGTAAATTATTTGGGATAAAAATAGCTCCGTGTGTGGATTGACGCGTGTCCTAAAACCAGACTGTATGCAAACAGCACTTACTGTCTGACTCTCAGGCTGCACTTACTGCCTCTAAATGACACGGTGACGCTCTGCAGGGAAATGATTATATCTCAGGTAACACCACGACCCTCTGCTCGGCTCAATGACACGCCGTCTTTAACTCTGCGTTTAGGTTCAGGTGCTTATTTGTCTCTTTTCAGTTTTACTTTTGTACCCAGAGGTCGTGATCATACACACACACACACACTCACACTCACACTCACACTCACACTCACACTCACACACACACACACACACACACACTCACACACACACACACACTCACACTCACACACACACACACACTCACACTCACACTCACACTCACACACACACACAGACATATCAAATGGCAGTAGAGCAGACATTTTCCCTCCCTTTGTCCCAAAATGTCTCAACAAACAAAAAGACATCTTCTTGTCTTTCAATCTGAGGCGAGGAGATGGACAGGATGGCCTTCAGCTTTCTCCTAAACACACACACACACACACCACGACCCTCTGCTCGGCTCAATGACATGCCGCGGCTGGATTACCTTCTTTAACTCTGCGTTTAGGTTCAGGTGCTTATTTGTCTCTTTTCAGTACCCAGAGGTCGTGAGGTGAGGCGAGGTGGAGAGGAGTTTAGGTCAGTGTGTAAAGATAAGAGAAGGGAGGCTTGATTCAAATTAGTAATTTGTTGTCCCTAAAAGTTTAATAAATTGATTGTGGTTGTTAGTTTAAGAGCAGGATACACATGAACACAAGTCCTGTGTATGCTATATTAACATTTTTATTTAATTTTACAAGCAACTAAGAGACCACGGTACATTAATGGTGTGGAGAAAGTAAACTTAGACTCTTAAAATGAGCTGGTTGTTGGATGTGGAAAATAATCCCTAAAATAATCTGCCAATTACAGTATAATTCATTAAATTGTGAATTATTAAATCTTACAAATTGACAGCTATAGCCATCTAATAACAAAAGACATTTGAAAACAAAACAAAACAGTGCATTTGTATAAATTATAAGGGACATTTTAAAATGAGTGACATTTCTTTTTTTGGGAGGGCGGCAGTGGGGATTCTTTTACTGGGTGGACGGGGGGAGACACTATGGACGCGCCCGTGAACTGTCAACGGGGGGGGGGGGAGGTACACTCTGGACCTCTGTAGACCTCTGTCGATGATATCATATTAAAGGGCGGTGCCGGCCGTCTGCGAACCGAGCCGGCCTTTCTGCGCGACTGTCACTCAAATGCGGGACATAGTCTCAATTTGTGGGATGTGGGAAAAATGCTGTACACCTGGTCACCCTACACACACACACGGTGCTGCCCCTCACCCTACACACACAGACGGTGCTGCCCCTCACACACACACACACACGGTGCTGCCCCTCACACACACGCTTCAAATCAAGTTGCATAAATGCTTAAGCTACGTTTTATTATAATTACTGTGTAATGTATTATGTTTTCGTCATTCGATGTTGCATAGATCGTGTCTGACATGGGATGAACTCACAGAAACATTAACGAGAGGAATCACAGACTGACGGAGAGTAAACGCTGTCACGGATCAGTGTTGATCCCCGAGGGGAAACAAATCAAACATTCATCTCTCGTTATAATCACAGAACGGAAATTCTTGGCACGAGCTCTCTGAGGTTATTTCAGGTGATGTTTGGAGATAACAAACGCTCGACAAGTCTCGATATGAGAATTAAAATACCTTTATTGGTTGATGCATATAGTAAGTCCTTTAAAGTGCCTTTTTTTTAGGGCTACACACCAGGAGATTTGGCTTTTACTTCATCATATTTGACATCAAAATTGAGTATTTGAGTTAGCTTCAGATAAGGCATTGGAAACATTAGATTGGTCATAAAAAACTAAATCAAAATTTAGGGTTAGGCTTAAAGACTCTATACCAGGGGTGTCAAACTCATTTTCATCTCGGGCCACATCAGCATTATGGTTGCACTCAAAGGGCCGGTTGTAACTTTAAGACTATATAAAATACATATATAAATGTTTAATATATATAAAATAATGTTATTGCCTCTGCATTGGATTATTATCGGATAGGGTAATAACTTCATAATTAACTACGTCTGAAAGCAGAAGTCTAGGGCAAAAAATGCAAGTCTCCTCAGTGAAAATGTCACAAAATGATTTTAAAAGAAAAGCCACGTTCTGGAGAAAAAGTCCAAATCAAAACAAAAAAGTTGAATTTTGGGAAAAAAGTCAGATTCTGAGAAAAAAGAATATTTTGAAGAAAAAATCAAATTCTGAGAAAAAAGACAAATTTGAGATGCATTGTGGGACATGTAGTTTATGGGCAACGTGCTTCTGTAAATCTGCATGTAACCGTATAATAAACATATTATATTCTTTGCAAGCTCTTATGGGGCCACAGAAAATGAAGTCACGGGCCGGATTTGGTCCCCGGGCCTTGAGTTTGACACCCCTGCTCTATACTGAAGCAAATGCAGAATAGAAATCATGTATAAAGTGTTTAAAAATGACTATTGTTGGACAAAGGAGCATAATTGATGCTGCAAAAAATACATTAGAAGTTAGAAAATAAGTTTAGATTTTTTTAAAAAATAGTCGTTTTAACTTTTGAGAATTCACTTATCTGCTTTATTGCAAAAAATTAAATACTGAAATATAGCTCTCATGTTGGTCGTTGTTGTTGCTAATAACTGATATTCATATAAGCATTTGGCTTCATTTTGAACCATGCATCTATGGATTCATTTTGAACCATGCATCTATGGATTCATTTTGAACCATGCATCTATGGATTCATTTTGAACCATGCATCTATGGATTCATTTTGAACCATGCATCTATGGATTCATTTTGAACCATGCATCTATGGCTTCATTTTGAACCATGCATCGATGGCTTCATTTTGAACCATGCATCTATGG